TTTATATAAATATATATATTTAATATAATATTATAAATAATGTTTTTTTAATATAATATAGTAAATAAAAAATAGATATTTAATTAATTTTTAAAAAATAAAATATTTAATAAATATACAAAACAAAATTAGACTCTTTCATTGGACGAAGTTTATGATGATATAAATTAATGGTTGTCTAATATGATGATGGGTGTGACTCAGATTCCTACACTATACTGATGCTTGGGGTGGGGTGGGTGGGGTGGGGGTGGGTGATCCATCATTTCTCCATTAAATAATATATATATATATAATAAAATAAAATTCATACATTTATGACATATTTATTATTCAAAATTAAATCAGATTCGCCAGTTTAAGAGTCTATTAAATTTCAATTTATGACATATTTTATTAAAAAAATATTTTTTTTATTTAAAGCATTATTTCCATTTCAAAATTTATTATTTCCAAAACAATTACATAACATACAAATACAATTAATAAATTCAGTTAAACTTTAAGTAATTACCTTAATATTATTATTTGAAAAATAAAAATACTCAAAATTAATTTCAAATAATAATTTAATTAACTCGTTCCCCGTGCTATGCACGGGCCTGTATTTTTTTTCTATTTTAATAAAAATAATTATATATTAATACAAAAATATTCTTAATTTTTACATAAATTATAAATATAATATTAAATATACAATTACTTCGTAAAATCAAAAACAAAAAATATCAAACTCTCTTACATACAGTAAATAGCTCAAATGGTCCATTTTGAAGTAAAAGGGAGTATAATTTTTTGTTTGATTAAATGACAATTAATCAATTATTATATTTATATGTTTAGTTATTTGCTATATCAAGCATAATATTTTTTAATATTTGTTTACTATTTAATGCTCCCTCCATCAAACTAGAAAATATATATATTTTTATTTTGGAACATTCACTTATAAAGTAACTATTTTATTAAATACTTTTAATTTACATCAAATCATTACTTTTATACTAAAAAATAATAGTAAAAGTATCATTAGGTAAATGTATTATTCTTACTTATAGGAAGCAAGTATATACATAATAATAATAATAATAATAATAATAATAATAATGCCATCATTCTATGCTAAATTATGTGGATTGATCTTAATTTATTAGTTTGTGATTTTAAAATTAATTTGAAATACGATATTGATTTAATTTTTTATTTAAATAGTAAATTGATATAATATTTAATGAGAAAAATATTATAATTTTATTAAAAATCATACAAAATAAATAGTTTGAATTTTATTTTCAAATCACAACCAAACATATCCATATATTTATTTTTATCTTATTTTACTGAGCGAATGTAAAATTTTGATCAAATTGGTCACACATGTAAATATCAACTAATGGATTTAAAGTATTTCATATTCAAATAATCTTATTTAGAATTTCGATTCAAATTCAAATATAAATCAATTTAATTAAATTACCCTAAATTATTCCTAAATCGTGTGATATTTATGTCTTGTTTGATAATGATAATTCTTTTAGAATATTATATATTCTTATATTTAATATAAATACTATATTGAAAAATCTTTTTTATTTAAAAATTTATTAAAATAAATATATAAAACAAAAACAATAATCAATCACAAAGGCAAAAAAGTCCTTTACGTGTACTTTTTACCTACTACCGATATATGTCAATATTTCTTAAATCTCGTGTCAAATACACTATTCATAATATAGTTATGGGACGGAGGAAGTATTAGTTAATATAAATAAATTTTTATCTAAATAAATTTGTTATATATATATATACACTTATTGATTATATTATCAAAAGAATGAAAAGATACAATATATACATATTCATGTAATATATATGATATATACTCTATATATTAAAAAAAAAAAATCAATAATTTTATGAAAATATTAATTTTATATTACTAATATATTTCCATACATAATATAAAAAATATAATAAAAGTGAGTTTGGTTTGAATTTCAAACTGAAATTAGCATTATTTTAGCTTATATAATTCTCGATAAAAATATACTATTTCCGTCCACTTGATAAGTATATATTTTTTCATTGTCTAAACATAAAGTATATAATATAATTTCTACATATTAAAACTATCATAAATTATCATTAAAATATAGTAATATTTATTAAACTTCGTAAAAAAAATAAAAAATAAATAAATATTATTTTTTATGGACTGAAAGTATAATACTTTTCTAAATTTGGGCTTACACTTGTAAATAGTAAACGGGCCTAATCCAAATAATTTTGAATTCATTTTTTTATGTTACATACTTATATTAATCAATAAAATATTAATGTAATTAAATTAAATAATTAATTTATATTCAATTAATGTCTTTTTTCTTTTTTTTTTCTTTTTTTCGTTTGATTTTTTTTTTTTTAATTCTCGATAGATATAAATTATTCATTTTAATTTTTAGTAAGTATGACTTCCCATGTATCAAATATTTATAAATTTATACTTATTTATATCAATATTATTATAAATTAATACACAGTAAAAAAATAGTCTTAAATTTAAAAACTATTTCTAATTATTATTAAAATGTAATATTTATTAGCCTTTGTGTCAAAAATAAATAAATACCAGGAAAAAAAAATACTAAAAACCTTTAATGTGCATTTGGTAGAGAGAAATAAAAATAAGAACCGAAAAAGTGCGATTTTGACAATTTTTTTTACTATTAAATTTTTATGATTTTTTATAAAAATATATATTTTTTTAAAACAAAATATCACGTTCAAATTAAAATTAGTTTTTAAATTAAAAAAAATCAAAGAATAAAATTTAAAAAACTCACCAACTAAACACACTAAAGTATTTTTTTCTTTATATCAAATATACCCTTAGGATTTATTTCTTTTGAATTTCTTAAAATAAAAATAAAATATTCTAATAAATATTTAATATGCGATTTTATATATATATAAAAAAAAAAACAAAACTGTGTACATTGGTTGTTTGGATTGCTTTTTTACACAGTAGAAAACAATGTCCACTCAAACCACCCACCTCATCTGGGCCATTGTTGGCCCAAATAACCACTCTCACTAAAGGGTGGCACGTAAATAACCAATACATTAATTTTATTTACCATTTCGGTCTATCTCAAAACAATAGTCTTATTTTCATAAATAATTATATCATTATAAAACTATCATTATTTTTTCATTATTATTACACAATTGTCACTACTTTTTACACTAATACACTCATAAGACAATTTTTTTTTACCAGTACTTTTTATCCACTGCTAATATAATATCAATATTCCTTAAATTTTATGTCAAACACAATTCAGACTATAGTTTTTAGACGGAGAGAGTATATATTATAATATATAAAGTATATATATATTTTTAATAATATTTATGTTGTTTCATAGTATTATATTTTATTGCCTTCATTAAAATTATATTTCTCTTACAAATATATTGGGACCAAAAATTTAAAGGTGTGTTTGATTTTAACTTTTTGTAATTTCAATTAAGTATATTGATAAATAAAAATATACTGTATTTATTTTCTCATAAAGATTTTAAATATAATAATATCTTATAATACTCAATATTTAAAAAAAAATTCTTAAATATGAAAAAAAAATACAATCCAAAATTTTCAACATACTTAAGGCTTGTGTTGGTTCGAGGAGTTGGACTGTGTTTTTTAAAAAATATATATTTACTTTTTTAAAAAATATTAACATATCACATATATTTTTTATTTTTATATTTTTTATACTCTCTCCGTCCTGTTGGAAGGGTGACATTTACTTTCTGCAAGTAGATTTTTAAATATTAGTATTATATTGAATTGTAGTAAAAAGACAAAAATACTCCTATTAGTATGGTATAATATAAAAGTAATGACATTTGTGTAATATTTTATAAGTTGAAAGGATATTTATTATGTTAAGTAGGTAATACAATTACTAAAATAAGAAATGGTAACCTTGTCTTGGGACATACGAAAATAAAAAATAGTAATCTTTCAATAGGACGGAGGGAGTATAATTTTTCATATTAATACAAATTTTTTTTTTTTTTTCAAATTATCTTACAAATTAAACACACTCTTAGATTTTGAGTTGAAATTATTATTTGATGAAATATAAGCATATATTATCAAATATATATAGCTCTATTCTCCTATAGGTGTGTTTGTTTGGGGGTTTGGATTTTGAGTTGGGATTTGAATAGTAAAAATTTTGAATTTGAATAGTTGTATGATGTGATATAAATAGGTGTTGATGTGATGTTTTGAATGTAAAATTAATTTTTAGTATAATATAAAAAATAAAAAATAGGTATTTGATTTGATGTTTTTGGGGGAAAAAAATTGGATGAATAGTAGAATTTTGTTGAAATTCTACAAACGAACACATTTATTTTTCAATTGCAATTTTTAATAAACAATAATAAAAGATACAAGATATTTTATACAAAAATTAAAATACTAAATAATTCAATTTAATATAACATTATATTTTATATTTTTGTCATAATTTTTATATTAAATATAAAAAAATTATTTTATTTTATAAAAACTTATTGAGTGAACGGAATTTATATATTTATTTAATTTGTTTTTTTTTTTAAGAAAAAAAAAAAAAAGAAAAAAGTGAACCTTAAAAAATCCCAAAAAATGAACAGACAATCACAGCCCCTGAAACTTCCGTCTAGTCTAAACGGTGGTTAGGGTTTTACAGGTCGTCTCTTTCACTGCAAGAGCAGAGATTTCTTCGGAAGCTTTTCTTCTCTCTGGCGCCAGGCAAGTGACCGAATCATTACCTATTTCGTATATTTTGGGGAGCAACCACCTCATTTTTCGCCGCATTGCAGTACATTTAAATATTTTTTCTGCTATAGGAGAATTTGGGTATATTGTACATTGAGCCGGTTCGATTTCGCCTGTGTTGATTTTTATTTTTATTTTGGAAGATCATTTTTGCTATGCGTGGTTTGTTTCTTGATTTTCGGTGGTTGTGGAATTTGGTGATATGCAAAATGCATGTATTCTTTGAAATTCTGTGTCGTCCTTGTTGATTTTAGTTATTTTATTTGGATCTAGGTCAACTATGGTTGTATGGTAATGCAATTCGTTTGTGAATTCTGGATTAATTGACTGCATAAGCGTTTTAGTGTTATTATTGTTTTTACCTTGGTTTACTGATTTGTTCTGTTCAAACTCTTTCTTGTTTATGAGAAGTTTTTTTCAGGAGTAACAAAGATCACGTTGCATATGTTTCCCCAAAATTTGGCTTTCTTTAGGTGTTTGTGCTTAATCTGAAGTTGCTGTTTATGAATTGAACTGTATATTCATTTTCTATATAGTGATTTGTCCAAGTTCAAATTGCATAAGAGATACTGTGAATGAGACCTTATTGAACTGTGCCTTGTTAGCTTTGGATGAGATAAAGAGGCATAGGCTTCTCTTTTAAGAAAAACAATGTTAAGTTTGATATGTTATAGTGCTTAATGTTAAAAAAATAATAATAAAAAATGTGTGATTACGGCTTTGGATTAGAGTCAAACATTCAAGTAGTGTTATTTTCAATTTGATGCTCTCAAGCTTATGGGGTAGACACATACAAAAATGTTTATGTATCAAGTTTCAGAATATAAGAATATGGAGGAAGAGAATGGCTTGACATGCCAAGAAAGGATAAGAATGAAGAAAGTGGAAAATGTCTTTAGGTAAACCTATTGGACAAGTTTCCTGTCAAGTATAAAGAAACATCTAACTCTCAATTATTTTGAGATTATATGTATATCTATATTGTGTTTTCAGTGTTTTTGTGGCAGCTTAAGTGCATAGTTTGATGAGCTGAGGAAAAAATGTACATTTTGTTGTCTATTTTCTTGACATTAGTAGAATTATGGGCATCAAGGAACAAATGTCGTGTGAAGTGCTTGTTAGTTTAGTTGAAATTGGTGTTGGCTGTTTACTAAATAATTAAGCAAGTATAAACAGAGAATAATGTACATTTTTATCAAATAAATGAGTATGATCAAGGCATGCATTTCTATATAGTGACTGCAAACATGATTATTTGATGTTTATTTATATATGAATTTGTTTGTGTATTTATTAATGTCTGTAATTAAATATGCTATTCTTAGAACTTATTAATTTACTTATTCTTTAGTTATACAAAGCATTATAGAAGGTAGGGGGAAGAAATGGAGCAATGCAATGTCTTATTGCCTCATCACATTAGTTTTTGTTTTTTTGAATATTCTGCTTAGACATTGCTATTTACTTTTTTGATATTACCTTACTAACACAATATACCTCACTGTGCAAGTTACAACTCATGGTAAATCATATAATAATTTTCATTTATTGTTTATTTATTCTATTTGTTTACTATTTGATTATAAGTTTCGGTACCAGCGTGTTTGTTTATTTTTAACACAAGCAGTGGGGGAGACCTAATGCATCCGAGTCAGCAGTGCCGAAATTATATAATAGTCGGTGTTGCAATGTATATTATAAGATTGGCCTTATATGCTTTTCCTCGTTTATTTTTGAGTTAGCTGCATCTGTTTTTTGAATAGAAACTTCATCCGGTTAGTGTGCTTGACGTAAAAGAAAATGCTCCTACTCATTTTACCACACACCTATCCGCAATATTGTTAAGTAATCTACGGGAGAATACTCTTCAACATAAACGTATTTGTATCTTCTCAATTTCACCCACCCTAGATTCCTTAACATTTTTTTCTCATGCTTTCTCAGTCAAATCACAATTTCTCTTTCTCTGCATCATTCCCACCATAATAAATCTGTTTCAAAAGAATGTTACATAAGTTATGAGGTATAGCTCCCTTTCTTTTATGATACTCTGTTCTATCTTAGCCCTTCGTTTAATCTGTTTTCTATTAATTTAATAGGCCCATTTCCCCTCATAATCTGTATTGGTGAAGTGTGCTCAGGTTTGTAACTTTACCTCAAAGAGAAATAAGCTAAATTGCCTTAAGTTTCCATGATTTGTTTGTAGAGTTCGTAATATTGAGTGTAGATTTTACAGTTTAAGGATATTACAGATAAGAAAATGCTTAAATTTAGCTGTTATTGTGTGCGTAATTGTTATCGAACACTGCCTTATGATTTCACACTAGTCCCTCATGATTTTTTGAAGAATTTTAACTTGTGCCGTAAATTGGCCTAGCTTGATGATGTTTACACTTCATTATGTTTTATAGAAGGCCCTTCATGCTCCATGGAGAAGCCCAAGCCATTGAAAGTAGAGATTTCATCGGATGAAGAATCGGATTCCTCCAAAAATGATGAACCATTGCCCGAACTATCAACCGAAGGTAACCATATCCCTAAACAAAAGTTTACCTACATCATTCATTCGTCTTTACATTACGAATCACGCGCCCTGTCCTTTTATTTTCTTGTCGTCTTCTGACATCGTCAAACGATGCTATAAACTATTTTCTCTCATTGCCCTGAAATGCAGCAATACTGTTCCGACGAGCCACAAGCTACCAAGAATACATGAAACTGATCCCGATCCCTACAAACCGCGGCGCCGTGATTCCCTTCACCTCATGGTCCGGTTTGGGCAGCTCGATTAAGCAGCTATACAAGCAACCTCTGCACTACCTCACCAATATTCACTTGAAAGGATTGGACCAAGAGCGCTTTGGAGCAGACAACGAGCATTTTCCTCTAGACATGATCATCCATCCAGTTAAAGCCGAGGCGAGCATCTGGCACATCGAAGGGGTTCACCGCCTCTGCGCATCGCCTCATCATTTACTCAAACTCTGGACTGCCGATCCGAAGTACCATGCCTGCATCGACCCCATTTTCCCAAAGCTCAAATGCGAGGTAAAAACCCCGAAGATCCAAACTACTGTGCCTTCTTCGAACCCCTTTTCCCAAAGCTCCGTCGCGAGGTAAAGACGTCGATGATCCAAACTACCATCCATGCCTTTGTTGATCCCATTTTCCCGAAAGCTAGCTCGACGGGTAAACCCTAAACCCTAAAACTGCGAGTGAAGCCACATTTTTAGATGCTATTATGCTTGTGTTGTATGCATTCCTATGTTTGATGCAAGAAAATAATAATCATAGAGTACGTTCATTTTTTAAGGTTTTTTTTTTTGGTGTGTTTGATTCTATATTTTGTGAGATATAATAGTGTGTTTTCATTGAAAGTTACAAAAGCCAAACTTTTATATGCAAGAAAACATACATCATAGGTGTATTTTGTGAAATATTAGTGTATTTCTATAGATAATTATATTATATTTTGAGATTTAATAATATATTTCTATAGAAAATTTGTGAAAAAAAATAGTAGTAACATATTTCTATAGAAATAAGAAATTCACTAGGATTGCATAGTACATATGGTTTACTGACACTATATATTTCTTGTTGCATGTAATATCTTCTTCAAAACAATGGATAGGTTCACATCTACAAAAAAATTGTTCATCAAGAAATAACCATACAATTATTTGGCAATCATAAAATGATGAAGAACCAACAACACCCCCTTCCCCTTCACCCCACAAGTGTTTTTCAATATTCGACGCATCGAAACACCTTGACGAAATATTTATAGCGAAAAGACTATAAATTCTCACGGCCCGCGCATAGGCGGAAAGCAAAAACAGCCTCCGGCCTGATCTTCGGGAATCATACCTCCTCCTTTGCTCGTATCGATCCCTTCTAACATTTGGACAACTTCGTCCATGTCGGGCCTTTTATCCGGATTTGCGTCCCAACACTTCTTCATGATGTTCGAAACCGCACTTGGACAGCAACGGGGAATTTCTGGCCGTAAATTCTGTAAAACATTGATATGATATGTAAGTTTTCTAGTTGTTGACGAACTAGAAGTATGCGAAATTTAGCTTGGAGAATAGCTTTTTATTACCTGTCGAACAACAGCAGACGAGACTTCGGCAAAACTGAGGTCGGGATAAGGAAGATCGCAGCAATAAATTTCCCACAAACATATTCCAAAGCTGTAGACATCGCATTTTCGATTATACGGTTTTCCATCCAATACCTGCATCGACAAAAAAAATAAAAATAAGATGTTATGTCGATAGTCCTAAACAAGTGACGAGTTTGAGAAAGAGAAAAAAAAAAGGAACACCTCCGGCGCCATATATCCGAGTGTTCCAGTCTCGCCAGTCATATCCTTCGGATTTTGTGCTTCGACACGAGCAACGCCAAAGTCGGCGATTTTCAATGTCCTGTGAGAGTCTAACAACATGTTCTCAGCTTTGACATCGCGATGCACGATTTTCTTCGAATGGAGATAGCTCAGCCTGCAAATTTTCAAGATAAAGAACATTGGCTCGTTTAAAAAAAAAAAATTAAAAGCAGCCTAGTAAAATATATACATATATCTACAGAAAATTCTATTCACCCTCTCGATAAATCTAAGGCGAGCTGGATCACGACTTTGTAGGCGAGCTTCTTTTTCCTGTTCTTGTACAACAAGTTCTTCAACGTTCCTCCGGGAAGAAATTCCACCACCACACAACAAGCACGCGACGGGAAATTTGTGTCTCCCCCGGACGAATTATTGGACGGAACTTTGAGTTGTGAAGTCCCCATTGACGCACCGATGAACTTTCAATCGAAATCAAACAATAATGAAACGCTTAGTTCGTTGAAAAAAAAATGCATCGAAGATAACCTCAAAATATTTACTTTAGTGACATTCGGATGATCGAGTTTGTGCCAAACAGCAACTTCTTGTTTGAACGATGCCCGAAGCGCGGCGGTTTCGGCAGCCGTCGCCACATTGTCCTCTCCCCAATCCAACACTTTCACTACACAACAAAAAAGTGATAATTAATGCCCGAACAAAAGAAACAAACATCATAGACAAAAATAAGCATTCAAATTCAAATTCTTTCGATTTATCAATTCAAACTAATAAAAACTATTCAAGATCCATACTTACAAATCTAAAAATGTCACACAACCAGCCATCGAATTCAAACTCGTTCCTAAAATTTGATCCGATCTATCAATTTATAACATATAAAAACTAGATCTGTACTTTCGAATCCAAAACTGCCGCGTAATCCTCACTAGCTTCCAATTCAAATTCGTATCCAAAAATGCCATACAGCCACACAATCATCACTGGCATTGAATTCAAATTTGTTCCAAATATTCGATCCAATTTATCAATTCAAACAAATCAAAACTATTCAAGATCAATGCATTCAAATTAAAAAATTCCACAAAATCATAGTTAGCATCGAATCCAAATTAGTTCACAAAATTTGACCCGATCTATCAATTCAAACTAATAAAAACTATTAAGATCAATGCTTTCAAATTAAAAAATTCTACAAAATAGCTAGCATCGAATTCAAATTAGTTCATAAAATTTGATCCGAATTATCAATTCAATTGAATAAAAACTACTAAGATTACTTTCAAACCAAAAATGCCACACAATCATCACTTAACATCGAAATTAAGCCACCGAGAAACCGAAATTACGCCAAACAAACAACAAAGGATCACAACCTGCCACATCCTGGCTATTATAATTGGCACGATATATCGTCCCGTAAGTTCCCCGAGCGACGAGGTATCGAATCTCCAAATTGGAAGGATCAATCTCCCACACTTCCTTCGGATTAGGCGCCTCGACGACGTTTTTCGACCAAACTCGACTCAAATGCTTCTCCAGCTGCACATCTAAGCTTTTGAGGTCAATTTTATCAGCTCTAAAGATCATGTCTCTATTGCTAATGCTCCCGGGGCTCTTCCCCGCCGGCGCCAGCGCCGGAGCCGCCGTTCTGACATCATCGGAGATACTTCCTGTCCCCTTCAATTTGGAATCCTCGAATTCCTTGGCCTGATTTTGGGAGTTTTGAAGTATACTGTCGTCTCTTGTCTGCGCATCCATTTTTTGCCCAAATAAATGTATTCTGCTAATCGAAGATGATCGAATCAACTGCAAGAAAACCTCAAGATTTTCGATTCAGACAGGAATTTAATCAATAAAAAAGGGGCAATAATTCGAGATTAAAAAAGAACAGGAGCCGAGATTCAATGGATTTGACTTTTCTTAAGAATTCTCAAAGGTTTTTTCATTCACGTCACGAACAATTCTGGCTAAACAATATTATCAATCATTACCGTTCTTCAATCTGTAATGGAAAAGTAAGCCCTCTAGGAAAACGACGGCAATTCTTCTCCAGAAAAAATAAAAATAAAAATAAAACAAAAAGAATAAAACCCTCAAATTGCAAATCCCAATTGCAAAGGGCAAAAATCCTATTTATCAAGAACCCTAAAATTATCCGATCAAAAGAAAAAAAAAAACCCTAAAATTGGAGAATTGGGAAAAACAAGAAAGAGACAGAGAGAGAGACAGACGCAAAAATTGACCAAATAGGTGTAAGAAGAGAGAGGATAGTGAAGTACCTTTTGGGAAGTTCGGAGAGGGAAGAAAGAAGAAGGAAGGAAGGAAACCCCAGTCAAATTCGCTGTAAGAAAAAAGAAAAATTAGCAGATGAATCTTGTGGAGGAGGAGGAGGGAAGAAAGAATTATGGGGAAAGGGAAAGGGAGGTTTAGAGAGAGAAAGAGGAGAGAGAGAGAGGTTTTTTCATTTGCAGCATTCCAGAGAGAGAGAGAGAGAGAGAGAGAGCATAGGAAGAAGAAAGATAGTACCAAAGAACAAAAATATGTACTGTTCCGTGCATGTCCTTCCAACGAAATTACCTGTAATAAATAAATAAATATATATTTATATAAGTACTACATTTATTATTATCGTATGTACCAAAATGCCCTTACCTACTCATTTTTTTAAAAAAATAATTGAAGTGTGCGTTTATTTTTGTGAAAATAATTTGTAAAGATTTTTTTTTTTTTTTTAATGTATTGTATATAAAATATAAAATAATAAATATGTGTAGTATAATAATATTTTTGAAAAAAATATATGAAAGAAAAAATTATTCTCCCAATTTCACTCAAACTGAGCTCTTTGAAATTTTTTTGATAAAATAAAAAAATAATACTCTCTCCATCTCATATACCCCATATATTATGTATCTGCTATATTGTAGACCAGTATTTTAAGAGGGATATAATTAGTAGATAATTAAAAATATATTAGTGAAAATAATTATCTTCTAATATAAATAATTATAAATTAAGATTAAAATAACTAATTAGTTTAATTAAAATTAAAAAATAAATAAAATAAAAAGTTTAAAATGTGATTAAAGTGTATAATCATTTTTCAAAAAAATATAGTGACATAAAATATGAAACGGATAGAAACGACAACGTGGACATGATAGGGAGTAATAACTTATTAATATAAATGTCTAAAAAATTTTTGACATTTTGTTTTTATTTATATTACATATAAATTACTTTTATATATAATATTATATTTATAATTTAGATAAAAATTAAAAGTATTTTGATACTAATGTATAATTACTTTTACTAAAATAATAATAAATTTTTTTTTAATAGAATAGACGAAAATAGTAATAAAAAAAAATACTTTAAATTGTAACGACAAACTACGTATTAATGTTATTATTCTTTGTTTCTTTTTTCTTAATGATTTATAGTGTTCTCACAAAATTATTAAACTCTATTTTGTATATATATTGTTATAATTTTCTGAAATTATTTATTAAAATTTTAATATTTGTATATCAACAAAATTATATAATTATTATAATACTTCCTTCATCATGGGTGGAATGACCCCATTAGTTAGAATAAGCTATTTTAGCTAAAGTATTATAGATTAATAAGTTATTGATAATATGTTATAATAATTATTTTAATATATTAGTAATGTTATTGGTATTTTAAATATTTTTATCATTATAATTCAATAAAAATATATACAATATAAATATTATTTTATAATTTTATATAATACAAATAAATAAAAATATATATGTATTTATCTATAATGAATTTAAAACTAATTTTATGAAAAATAAAGTGTTTTAAATATAAATAAATGAGATTTTGAGTAGGTTATATGACAGTGATGTTATAAATTTAATTAAATTGATTTATACTTTGTTAAGTATATTTAAAATGAATAAATTTATTTTAAAATAGAAAATATCATTTTTTATGTAATATACTAAAGAAAAATGAATTATTTGTGATAAAACGGAAGAAACATTATATTCAATTATTTTTCTATCTAACTATAATTGTATATATATAAATAGAGGTATATATTTATTAAGTATAAAAAGTTATATTAATAATAAATTTTTTTAATAAAATATTAATTTTTATAAGTGAATAATATATAGTATATATTATATATGTAATAATATATATATATTTGTATTTCTGTAATAAAATTTATAAAAAAAGAATGTTCAATCTACAAATTCAATGTAAACAAATCCTTTCTATTTTTGTACTTTTATTTTTCTCTCATATTTATAATTTATAATTTTCAAAGAAATCACAAAAACTATTTTTATTTTTATTTTATTTACATGTAATATTCCTTTTGTTTAAAATCAATTTATTTATTATGTCATATGATATGATCAAAATTAATTAATTATTTAATTTTCTTATTTATACTCTCTCCGATCCGACTTAATTAAACATTTCATTACTCAGTTTATTTATTTATAATTATTATAAATTAATTTTATTAAAGAAATAGAATTTTAAATATTGATAAATATTTATTGTGTTTTATAAGAGATGTAGACTTTGTTAAACTAGTATTTTCAAATTGATTGATTTTTTTGAGTATTCCACACTTTATATTTAAAATATTATATTACTATTTATTTATATTATATCAATGACTATTTTAATTTAATTTTATAATATAAAATTACGATATACCACAAACAATTACATCTTTTATATCTATAGTTTATTTTATATTCAAAATAATACTCTCTTTGTCCTGGATATTTTGTCGTTTTACTGTAAATACGAGAATTTAGGAGGAGTATAATTAGTAAATATTTAAAAATGTATTAGTGAAAATAATTATCGTATAATAAAAATAACTATAGATTACTATTAAGATAACTGATTAATATAATTAAAATTTAAAAAAATGTTTTTAAAATAAAATTAAAGTGTATAATTCTTTTCCAAAAAAGAAAAGTGACAAAATAAGTGGAACGGACGAAAAAATTGAAATGTGGACATGAGAAGGGGGGACAAAGGGAGTAATATTTATTTTTTATTATTATTTAAAAATATTAAAATAAAATATGATTTTCTTAAAATTTATTTTAAATGGATGCATAGTTAATTTGATTTATATATGTGTGAGATTATTATATTAATATAAATAAATGACTTTCAAATTTTTAATTGCTTTCAAGATGAAATATGTGTATTTTATAATTAATTTTGTTACGTTAGAAAAATATATTATGAGTTATTGTTTTTATTATTATTATTATTATTATTATTATTATTATTAAACTATAACAAATAGTCAACTGAGAAATGAATGGCTGAGGACTCATTCAACTACTCTTTTTTAGTATTTAATTATTTGTATTAGCAATAATTAAGACTGCTTTTTATTGTAAGTTGAAAGTTTGAATGTTACTGTTACCAAATTAATGAGATGTTATTTGTTTATAAGTTTGAATTATAATATGATATATATTTACTTAAGAATATATTTAAAATATATTTAAAAACAATTAAATCATACTCTCTTCTTCCCATAATTAAATATTTATTTGCTTTTTGCACATATATTAGTATTATATTTGAATGTAGCAGGAATAAAGTAGAAATGATTAAAATAACTTTATTAGTACGTGTGATATAAAGGTAATGACATTTGTATAATATATTGTAAATTGTAAGGGTATTTGTAATTAGGGCTGACAAAAATTAACCCGACCTGATAACCCGACCCGAACATGACCTGAAATAGTTGGGTTTGGATTGAGATTTTCGACCCAATTAATAATTGGGTCAAACCCGTTTAACCCATTTAATTAAATGAGTCAGGTTAAGGTCTACATTTTCGACCTGAAAATAACTAGTCTAACATGTTTAATAATATTATTTTAAATTAAATTTTATCAATACAATTCAATATTTATGACCAATTTTATAAAAACAAACAATAAAAATAAAGGATTGTGTTGTGTACTATTACGTACTGTTTGTTAATTCAATTCTTAAATATCGGTTTCATGATATGAATAAATAATTTTTTTGCTTTAATATGTATATATATTATGCATTTAAAAATTTTGTTAGTATAAATTTTATTTTTAAATTAAAATTTATAATTTGTAGATTAAACGGGTTATACGAGTTAGATTCAGGTTGACCCGATTAATAAAAGGTCAGGTTAAGGTTGCAAATATCAACTCATTTAATTAAATGGGTCAGGTTCAGGTCAAAGGTTTTTTAACTCGTTTAAGCTGACCCGAACCCGAACCCGACTCGACCTGATCTTTTTGTCAGCCCTATTTGTAATGTTAGGTAAATAGTACAGTTATTAAAAAAAAAAAGAAATTGATACTTTGTTATGAGACGGACTAAAATGAAAAAATGGATATTTTTGTTATGGGGCGGAGGGAGTATCATAATAAAATATATTCAATATAAAAATATAATATATATATATTTATACGTAATTAATGTAAAATTATTTATAAAAACAACTTAAATATTGTCTTAGTCTCATTAAAAATGTGTTATCTACTTTTTAGACGTAATTTTTTTAATATTAATATTATATTAGATTATAATATAAAAAAAAAAGGACAAAAATACGACTTGTTACTATTGTGTAATATAAGTGACAAATTGTTAGAGTACTTAATAGAGTATAGGAAAATATATTTGAGTACTTATTAAAAATAAAAAATAAAAATTAAGTGAGACTTTTAAAAAATTAATTTATACTAAAAAAATTCAAATCAATATTTTTTAGATTATATCATATAACTGTTTAATTTTAAAATTTTTATCATTCAAAATCCAAACTTAAAATTCAAACAACAATTTCAAAATTTTATTACTCTCTTTCGTCTCACATAATTTATTGTTTATTATTATTCTTTTTTAAAAAAATATAATTACATATTTTAATTCCTATTTTAATTTTTTAATTTATATTTTTTTAAAATTTTAATTAATTTATTTAATTATTTTAATTTTAATTTATAATTATTTTATTATATAATAATTATTTTTGCTAATATATTTTTATTTATCGTAAAAATTTGGATTCACTATATCGACAACAATTTTGTACAGTAGCCCACCACGAATTTATGCATCTATCTAAATAGTTACCTTATGTATAGAATTGTAAAAAAAAAGATTAGAAGTTATAAAAATTTTTAGACATGGTTTCATTGTTTATATTTGCATTTATTTTTTTTACGACGTGAAAATTCGCAATCGCTACCCGAGAGTACAGATTGGATAAAATTTTCGGTTGAACTTAATACCCTACAAATTGGATCAGGGGCGGATTTACAAAAAGTAGTAAACAAAAAAAATACTACAGACATTGGGAAATGACGCTTTTTGCCCAAACGACGCCGTCGTGGCCGAGGATGGTGGCGCTGCCGCCGTCCGATGGATAAACGTGGCAAGGGTAAAATGGTCTATTCGCACTTTCGTGTATATAA